TGTGATTTTCTGGAATTTTCTTTGGGATTCTGCCTTTCACTGTTAGAATGTACATATGATTAAAGTTATAGATCGTTGCATTCTTTGTAAGTGGGCAAACCTGCAAAATCAGCAAGGGCTCACATACTTATTTCCCACACTGTATATATATATATATATATGTATATATATGTATATATATGTATATGCTGTTGTATATCTCGAGTTGGTAACTAATTAAAGTAACTCAAGTATTTGGTTCTGACACTATGTGGATATATATATCTTTATAGTGTTTATACTTATACGCTGAGGTTTACAGGAGTGTGGAAACAGGAGTTCTGCAGATCTCAGTCTGAGTCACACACCCGTTTTCTCACATAGTAAATAAATTCCCGAATGATGATGTGATGCTGAGACTCTCACAAACAGGAACCCGTCTCTGGAGTTATTGAACAAACAACAGCCTCTCGTTTAGGTGTTAATTAACACAAGAGGCAGAGATTTATGGTTTATTCATAAAATTAAAATGTCAACTGTCCTAATTGAGCTCTCAAAGTTTTTAAATCTTTTGTTTTGCTCAGAAAAAAACGCCCCAAACTGCAGCTAAAGAGATCCGTAAAGCAGGAAATCTTCCTCCGATACGTAGATTTGATCATTATAAGGATAATTATCTTAAAAAATGTTCCTTATATGAAGTTTTATGACCTCATAGAAAATTACCTCTGGCTACCACCATGTCTAAACAGCTTTAATAACCCAAATCATCCCAATCCAGGATTTTTAGACTACATACTTTCTCAAACTCGTTTTGCCGTATAAACACTATTTTTTCAAAGTATCCATTAATTTTTTTTTAATTCAAGCCATTTCAGGTATTTATCTTTAAACTCACGTTTTGACACATAAAGAGAAAATGAGCTAACTCCATGTTTTGTTTGTTTAGGTTCCATGTTGTAGTTAAAGGTAGTTTCCAAACTCAAACTGACGAATTAGCTTCTTAAAAACATATTTCAGGGTCTCCAGCCAGTTCTAATATTATTATTCTCTATTCTAAAAATCGGGCTTGAACACTTCTGCATTTATTTGGCTTCTAAGAGAGAATAAGAATAATTTAATTGAACTTTTCTCAGTTCCAAACCTCCAAACCTTCTCCAGCCCCATAGGTGGCACTAACGAATCTAAAGCTAACATCTGCTAACAGGAGCTAACAGAAGTTCCCTTTAAAAACCCACTAAAACAGATTAGAACTCTCTCTGGAGATAAAAACACTATTTATCTTATTTACATGCGACATGTAGTCCAAAAAGGCCAGATTTTTAAAGTTCAAAGCATTATTTCTGGAGCCTTTATGTTTTTAAATCATCATCAATAGAATATTTTAGGTTATCAGTATCCATTTGAACTGACAAAGCTTTATTTAAACACCTTTTTGTACCGTTTACAGCCTCACAATATTCAGAGGACAGACAGATAGGTAAAGGCCTTTGGCTCTGTTCTGATTTCTGAGTGAGAAAACTATTTATTTGGATCATTTAGAAGATAAAATGCTAGCTCAGAGATTTGCCAGAACTGAATATTCTCCATAAATCCTGACGTGTCTGAACAATAAAGAAAAATAAGCTAATTTGGGTCGTTTATTTACTTGTTTTTATGAGTGAGTGTTGAAAAGATAGATAGATAGATAGATAGATAGATAGATAGATAGATAGATAGATAGATAGATAGATAGATAGATAGATAGATAGATAGATAGATAGATAGATAGATAGATAGATAGATAGATAGATAGATAGATAGATAGATAGATAGATAGATAGATA